CCAAAACAAAACAAAACAAAACAAAAAACAAACAATAAATCATATACTTCTGCAGCCCCGGTGACCGAGTATGCATGTCCTTTCACAAGCTTCAGAGCTGTGACTGCCTCTGACTCATAGGAGCTGGTGATCTGAAAACACCACAATAAAGACTTTAATCAGATGCTGTGATTGCAGTAGCATTGTTGAAGGGATGGTTTGCAAACTGTCATGCAAATGAGTATGAAAATCAAACTTGCATCAATGGAGCAACCCAGCAGTGAACCCAGCTTCATGGCTCTCTGAATGATCTGAAAGAGGTTGGGTGGAGCCTTCTCTAAGACGTATATTTCTGCAATCCCTCCAGTGAAATCCTCAAAACCCTCAAGAGTGTTTCCTCCTGACAGGGCTTCATAGCTGCCGTTCACCCTGTCAGACACCAAGTGTTGTGAGTAGATTCACAGCCTATAAAGTGCACATTTAAACTACTTCGAAGTTTTGAATAAGCAACAAATATGGGAAGAGCAATCATTACTTGGCATAGGCCTTCTCCAGCAGCGCACTCCAAAACTCTGAGCCCTCCGCCGAGTGAACAAACAGCAGCTTTCCATCTCTGGTGGGTAAACGATCGTCCACCACCACATCCACCCACTCGCCAAACTGCCAGAACTGAGAGAGAGAAACACTGCCATCAGTAAACTCACTGAAAGCCCTGTACAAACTGCAATCATTCAGCTGACCTGCATTGTGACTCATATCAAGGGGACAATCTAGTGAGCTTTGAATTGTGCTTATTGTATTAGCTGTGGCTCACCAGATTAGTTTTCATGAATGGTCTCAGCTTTTATTTGGCAGTGATAGAAAGACACTGATGAAAGTTTGTTTGCAGGCACAAAGTTTCACATATGTTTAAGTATTGATCAGGTTTGTAGAGGAACAAATAAAAGTATTCTATTCTATTATATATCTTACTTTATTAAAAATTTTAGTGACTGATGTTCAACAGTTATGGAGCAAAACTTTTATTTTTTGACTGAATGATGCTGTAGTCACTACTAAATCTTCACTTCAGTATCTATTTTCATAAAAAAAATAAACTCTACATTCTACAGTCCAACATGTTATGAAAAAAGGCAATGAAAGAAATGTATAAGAAAGAAGAAATGTCATTGAAAGGTCAGTGTTAGTGGTCAGATGTGAAAGGGTTTATGTCTGACCTGAAAGTGAAATATCCCAGCATAACCTTCAGTGAAACTCTGTCCATGAGGCACCACACGAGCCAGGATCCGCTGGTCTAGAGTCAGGGAGGCTATGGCAGCCAGAAGCCAGCAATCACCTGCACAGTAAAGACAGATACTAGACTACATTCTCTGAGATTGGGCAATCTGTGGCGTTCACCACAGTGCAACAGTGCTGTAAACAGAATGCGCCAACAAACCAAATTCTTACGCAAGCTTAATGGCAGAATGGTTGGAGGGTTTATCCCAGAGATGTTTGTGACTCCTTTCTCAAATCCAAAAACACATCACAACTGAGCCATCCTCTTTCTGCCTCACTTACCCAGAGCTCCTTGACAAATGTCTGTTCTTGTGGCTCCATCATCAATGAACTTGGGGTTGGAACACAGCTCCTATTAGGAATGAAAAAAGCGGACTGTATAGAGCTATTTTGACCATTTTTCCTTTGATAATGAGCTGTATTTGAAATGTTAGAGGTGCTGAAGAAACTGAATCACTTTTTTGTTTTTAATGGCTTCTTACCGTTGGCCTCTTCCAAACAATATCCCTGGTCTTTGGTGAATATGGTCCCAGCTCATTGAAGCCCAGTGATCTGCGTTCAGCTGGAAAGCAGCTGTCCTCGAACAAGCGTCCTCTCTCTAGGCACTGCTTCCGAAGAGTCTCGTAATCCTGCCGGGAAAACTTCACTGCCTGCTGGTTGCTGCCAATACCCTGTTCCCTCTCCTGCTGATGAGCCAGTCGACCTGCCGTTGAAGTCATCCTCGCCGAGCTGTTGAACAATATTTAGAGTCCCTGGATTCTGGGATCTGATTTCCCTCTTTGTGAAGCTGAGCTGTGATCTGCCACCAACTGAACACAATACAGACAAGCTTTTGTCCTTTATAGCTGCCACCGCTGAGAGGAAGACGGGGTCAGATCACAGACAGGGAGGGGCCTCCAGTGGACAGGTGAGGGTAACAGAGCCGACAGCAGCAACCTTAAGCAAATCTGCATTGTGGTGGCTGTGACCACAACTGAAATACAAACAGGGACACACCTAAAGGCCCCTTGAAGCGCCACTATACTTGTCTCATTTTGAACTTATGTTAGGAATACTTTGCATTTATTGTCTCCCCACTTCAAATGATTTGCTTTATTTTTTTTCAAACTTCCATATGCTGGAATAGAAGTGCCCCCAAAAAACACAGTGTTTTCCTACAGCACAAGTATCAGGAGGGATTACATAGTGTAAATACCACCGAGAGTTGTGAAAGGAAAGCTTAATGAAGCAACAAATAGGTTAAGCATAATAAGAGTAGAATAAGAATGACAGTACATCACTAAGCCTGGAGAATCTCATATCCGTGTTCTGTACTTACACCCTCTGAGCTGAATATAACAAAACTAACCCTTAGTCCAACAGTTCTCTAAGTCAGTTTGATCAGGAGTTACACTGAGTATACGCTGTGTACTGCAGTGTTTGTTCTATAGCATCATGTTCATGTGTGTGTCACAGGTACATGCATGCATTCTTTGTCAATAAGGATTTACATTAAAATCCATTGAGTTGCCTCCCAATGGAACTAGACACTAAAAACAAACACAAAAAAGAGTCACCGTATGGGAGACTTGCTTAACATGTGATTCAGTGAGCTGCAGGCGTAGAGCAATTATGTGTTGCTACTGAAAGTCAAACAACAGTCGTCATAACCAAGAGAAAAATCCTCTGGTGACAGTAGACTGTCAGAGCCTTTCTTGATATAAGAGCTAACTTCCTTCTGGGGCGTATCTTCAAATTTTTTCCACATCCAGTGCACATATGGTGTCCTCTCAGATAACAACCCTCAGGTTATCCCCACTGCAGGAAAAGCTCACTGTCCTCACTATTGTTGGCGGCTGGACAACGAATGAGTCATAAACAGTCTTGTTTGTGAACATAATCTGGCGAATGACAACTAATAACATCAGTATCTCTCAGATTTAGATGTAATAGTTATTATGATTGCCACAGGAAGCATGTATGTACAATAAGTTAACTGTTTGTAACTACTTTGAGCTTAACAATTGACATGAGGCTCTAAAATGATGAGCTACATACAGCTGAATATAATCCATGAACAGTCCAATCTTTTTTATATCAGTAGTGTCTTGATTATGGCTTTAAAGTAATGCCAGTATTGATAGAATAAATTATTGTTCGACTTACATGGCATTAGAAATCATGAATTATACATTTACTGTTGTCTTTACCAAACAGCCAACAGACTTCATCTTAATGTTATTATGAAAGTAAAAGCCAGGGTTGGCCTTGATACAACATTGCTTTAGATGAGATAAATCAGCTGTCATTAGAATATATGTTTAAATAAATAAACACTTTAGCTTCAACAGCAAGTAGTTTTTTTATGAGTGTATACAAAGACTCATTGTTTTTAAATGCTATAATGCTGATTGCTGGGTTACAGTGCTGTCGTTTAGCTTGATTTGAGGAAAGTAAGTGCAAAAAAAATCAGTGAGCATAAACTTGAATTGAGATTTTTTTTAGCCTCTAGGTGGCAGTGCAACAAGCTGAACACAACACTGTCATATTATTGCCTCCCTTCAAATATACTTACACAACAACCAGACATGGAGCATCATAGAGCATGAACAGCAGTGGTGCTCCTCCAGGTGGTTGCTTTTTCATGTAGGCCTGGTTTTGACACATCAGGGAAAACATGTATTTCCCCATTACACACTTTAAACATGGAATGATCTGCATAAAAATCTGAAGTTAGACACATTTGTATCTATTGGTGAATTTAAGAGCATCATAAAGAATATTTATTATATGTTTAGAGTGTTTATCCAGATTTTTGTGCATAATGTTGTATGTGTTGCATTTTAATATGCTGTGAGTTTGTACAGCTGCAACCTTGGCTAGGTCAGATGTTTCATCTCAGGTCAACTGTCTGGTCAGGTAAATGTTTAAATAATAGAAAAAGAGCAACAGAGACATCACTGCATCCATCCATAAGTTATATTTGCTTTATTTTGTAAAGGGTTGCAGAGGGCTGGAGTCCGTCCCAGCTGGCTCTGGGTGTGAGGCGGGGTACACCCACAGAGACATCAAAGTAATCCAATTTAGAATCACCATTTAATCTGTCATGCATGTCTTCTGGCTGTGGCAGGAGGCTGGAGCATCCGGAGAAAACCCACACAGAAACAGAGACACATGTAAACCCCACGTAGAAAGGCCCCTAGCTGACCAGCAAGTTCAAGTCCAAAACTTTCTTTCTATTTGTTTTTTCGTTTTGTTTGTTTTTAAGCAGCTTCTGGTTCCACTGTGTTCACCAGCTGGTTGCCTTTTCTGTAACCAGGTAGTGTACTGTGGGTTTGTTAAAGCTTTTTCACTGTCACCACCTGCCTCCTTTATCCAGAAACCACCTTTGAATTAAAGCCGCAAGCGGCCGACGCATGTCAGGATGTTGCGGCGGAGCTCTGAGCCAGCGTGTCAAGTTTGGGGCAGAT